GCGGGAGCAGCAATGCTTCTAACTATACTGGAAGCGGATTCTGCCCCCCACCCCAAGGGAAGGCAGCAGGAGTCTAAGAAAGCAGGCACTTGGCCCAGTGGAAGGGCTCCCCGTCACCGCCCGCCCACCCCACAGGGCAACAGAGGCACTGTTGGCTGGAAACATGGCTTGAAATCACAGGGCAAGCATAAAACCTTTCTGGATTTCCCGTATTTTCTCTCCCAAGCATTTTGCCTTTTCCTACAACGTATGCCATCACTGTTTTTATATAAAATGTTCTTTCAAACATCTGGATAGCACTTGTGCTCCTCCAGGTAGGCATCTTCTTTATCCTGTGGTTTTGCACCCCAACACATTCTGGCCCCCCACGCCTGCACCCAGAATAGAAGGCTCCCGTTTTTTTAAAAGCAACAGGTCAAGCCAATAAGCTGCATCCTCACTCTTCACTTGCTGCCTTTTCTAGGGGGGGGAACTTATATAGGAACTTTCATGGACCCTGGGTCTGGGGGATACCCCACTGGTGACAGAAACTGCTCATTCACAAGGATCACCTTTTTCTCCCAGGCCCTGTCCCCAAGGTCAAGACACTGAGCATGGTGAAGGGCCCCTGTGGGAACTGCAAAAGAGGCCCTATTCTCTCATCTAGGGATATACTAATTTGCCACCAGGGCCTACAAAGGAAACGGACGGTTGGATCCCAACTCCTGCCCACCCCGTTCTGGGACTATCAAGGCTTCGATCCCAGGGAGGCCAGCTTGCACCTCCACTCACTTGCTCCACCTCGGGCTCCACAAGCCTCAGGGACGAACAGTCACAGAGCTCCTCAGTGGCAAAGCTAGCCGCACCTCCCATAACAGACAGTTCCTTGTGTAGCACCTGCATCCTGCTACCCAAGGACCAGCTCCCTGGGGACAGGGTCTGCGTTTTCTGTGCCTTCCCCCCAACCCCCCGCACCCAGCTGGGCCTGTTAGGTGCCCTCAAGCGCTTGTTGAGTTTAATTACTGTCAGCAGCTCTTGGGTCCTGCAGACCTATGCCCTGCCCTCCGGCTGACTTCCTGAAAACCCTGCCCAGGGGAAACCCCCAACATTCGGCCTGCCCTTCTGCCCCAGGCCTGAGGAAGACACGGCCTCAAACAGCAACCTCCAACCCACGGGGCCGGCCTCAGGTCTCCTCCTGAACTGTCCTTCACACCCTGGCGAGGCCGATGGTTTGGAAGAAACCGGTCAGTCCCTTGGCCACAGTGGGGGGGTAGGGGGGGGAACAGCTGGGGGACCGTCCTCACCCACACTCCCTGCCTTTGCTTAGGTCACTGCACCAGGCTGGAAAGCTCCCCTTTGTCCTTCAACCTCGGGGTCCTTCCAGGGAGGATCAAGTCAGGAGCTCCCGTCTCAGCAAATTAAGGAGAAAGCTCTGTGGCCACAGTTCTTAAACCTGGCTTCCAAAAAAGGGGCTTTAAAAAAAGTACAGATACCTGGGGTCCCACTCCAGACCATTTAAGTCAGAATTTCTGGGGGTGAGGTAGGATGGGGGCCTGGTATTAGTATTTAGAAGAATAACCTTCGTGATTCCATCAGATTCTCAGAGATAGGACCCACAAAGTGGTAAGCACCAATAATGGTTATGCCATCTGGTCAGACAAGCCAGGCCAGAAACCCAAGGCCTCGGCATGGTTTACATAGGAGTACCACCTTCCCGGGGCAGGCGAATCCCTTTCCTGCCTGCCGATTCAAGCCCTAAGGGACACATCTCAGCTTTGTTGGGATCCCACAGGCAGGCAGAGCAGGGGAAGGGAGCAGCACGTGTCCTTGGGGTCAACGCTATCTTTTTCCTCTACTGCCAAAGGGGATCCTGCGGCCGACTTCGGACTTGGTGCACTTCTACCAAAAACTCAGCCTCCCAGAAATCCCTGGGCCTGTCCCTTCAGCTCCAGTACTGAGGCCTGGATTCCCCCACCGCCTTTCACAATGGCTGAGGGAGGCCACCCACTGGTTAAAGGCCAGAAGGGAAGCTGGGCCTCATGGCCTGGGCCCTGTCCAGGGTCCTGACTCCTGGTCAGAGCACTTTTTTTCCGGCCCTATAGCACCTTACTCCGGGTATAGAGGGAGCCCCTAGATCTATACCCTCAGGTGCACTCAGAAGGGTGGCCCCTGGCAGGTCATCACGGGCGGTCGCCGGTCTGGCGTAAACCCAAGCCCAGCCCTTACTGTGGCTTTTGGCTCCACTAGGTGCTGGTGCTGCTGCTATGCTAAGGCCTCCAGGCCATCAAATCCCCCAGGCCATCACTGTCCACGGTGAGAAATGAAGAGACAAAGGGAACCATGGGTTTCCCACCAGGGAGGGGACTGCACCATGCTCATCAATTTACAGGCATTCTGGCTGGGACCTTGGGTCAGACTAGGAGCACGCTGTGTGACCAGCCTGACAGCCACCCCACAGAGGTCTTACTCCAGGGACTGGATAGATGGGACTCACAGATCCCCTTCCACCACGGTGACCAAAGCCCTCTGCCCTCAGGCCCAGCAGACTATAAAGGCCCTCCTCCCCAACCCTTTCACAGTAAGAGAGGGGAACCGCCCAGCGAGGAGATTTAGTGCAAACATTATCTGCCGCCAAATCCTTGCTTTTCATCTCCGCCTTCTCATGAGCCAAATAATTTGGAAGCTTTCATTGATGGTTTCCTCTCGGCCCCACGATCGCTTGGAATTTATGCCGGCTATGGCTCAGCCTCCTCACTTAGGGGACGAGGGAAACCTCGTAGGCTACACTCCAGCCTGCTGTGGGAGGAAAAGCTTGTCCTTGGCGACAGTTCAAGATAGGGAGGGCTTCCTCAGCCCTCCTGGAGCCCAGGACTTGAGGGCGGATGTCTTCAGGCAGGCCTCAGAGCTGCCTGCAGAGGCCCCTGGGCTCGAACCCAGGGCCACGCACAACCAGTCCCCAGCAGGGCTGGGCATTGGCACCCCTACAATGATGTGAGTCTATTTTTAGGTGGAGATAGGTTCAAAGGCTCTGTGCTGGAAAACCCAAGAGGTAGGGGAATTTTCAGCCCCATGCAAATCACTCTTTCCCTTTGGCCTTCACTTACACCTGTTTCCTCCCAGCCCCTGGCCTATCCAGGGTACAGACAGCAGCCCTGCCCCTGGGATCTCTGCCTTGAGAAATGGCCCCACCTCCTCCTGGTGTTCAGAGAAAGCAGGGCAGGCAGAGTGGGGTGAACCAGCCAGCCCCAGCAGTTCCCCAGAACTTCCCCAACCAGCCACTGAGAGCAGGGGCAGGTTGAATTCTGAGACAGGTTCCTCATCTCCAAAATGGGCAGAGAATTCCTCCCTCCTAGGTACAGGGAAGGCACATAAAAGTGGCTATTGTTTTACTAATGCAACCACAGTAACCGGGGAGCCTCAGTGGCTCTCAAGATGAGGGTAGGAAGGCAAGGTGGAGTGAGGGTGGAGGAGCAGAGAGGTGGTCCCAGAGGCTCCCAGAGCCCTACAGCACACTCCGCCTCCTGCATCCCAGCGCCCTTGAGCATATCCATCTACCTACTGAGCAGGGCTAGTCCAAGAGGGTGCTTAGAACCTCAAAACAGCAACCCACATGCCCGCCTAATTCCCAGCTTTTGTCCCAGTCCTTACTGCATTCCCGGAGGGATCTCCTTCCATCTCCACCCCTCCCCCATGGGGCCAAAGGAGGACACTAGGTTGGGGGATGGGGATGGGAGGCATCAGGTCTCAACCACCCCACCCCACCCCACACACAAAAGGAGAGTCCCAGGGTAGGCCACCTCAAGGGAGGATGTGGGGAGTTCTTTTTCAAATGCAAGGTTCTGCGGAAGATGCCCCCACTGCCCCCAAGGGGCTGGCTAACTACTGCTGCTCAGGATTGCCCCCGAGCCATGACTGTGGTTGGGGGGGTGGGGAGAGGGCTCCAGGCCCAGAACAAAGATACCCTCCCCCACTCCGTGTCAAGGACTCTGCCCCAAGACTCTGCGCCCTCCCACCCTTGGCAATTTTGGCCTCAAGAGCTTCAGGTCTCGGCTCTATAACCCTGGGATCCTCAATTTCCTTATTGTAAGAGACGGACTGAGAAGGACTAAAAAAGTGAAGTGTCCAGCCCAACTCCTGGCTAGGCTGAACAACGTCTCCTTTAAAGGCCAGATTCAAACCCCCTGCTTCTTGGGGGCTCAATGCTCTTGCAGCTGCATCTGTGCAAAGGGCCTCTTCTGTGCCCAGTGCAATGCACTGAGGACCTGAGAGAGAGTGATGTGGCCCTAGGATGTGATTTTTCAGGCGCCACAACGAGCAGGATCACGATGTCCTTTCATGTCCAACACTACCCACCCCCCACGCTCTTCTCCACAGCTCGAGAAGTCAGGAACACCTACCTCTACGTGCCCCAAGAAACGTCCCGGGTCCAAGGAAGGCAGGCTTGGGATGCAGATGCACAGGACACGGGCAGAAGGAGCAGATGACTTAACTGGATGATCCTGAGGACCGTAGCCCTCACCCCTGTATCAGCACATCCTGGCGCCCTTGGCTTGGCCTCCAGAACATGCCAAATCCAACCACTTCTTCCTCCACTGCCACTACCTGGCTCTCAGCCACCGTGGCTTCTCTCCTGGACAACTGTAGACGAGTCCCCCTGGCTCCCGCCCTTGCCCGCGTATTTCTTCTTCTTCTCCTCACAGCAGCCAGTGGGGCCTTTTGTTAATGTGTCAGACTCTGTCATTACCCGCTTACAATCCTGGAAAGGCTCCTCCTCGTGCTCAGCTGAACTGGAACGTCTTTACAACAACCTACACAGTTTTCACTGGCATGCGCGCCCCCTCCTCCCATTCACTGCACTTAGCCACGCTGGCCTGGCTCTGCAGGGCCCGTCCCCTCTGCTGGGAAGGCTCTTTCCCCAGGCACCTGCAGCGTCCCCTCCCTTCCTCTCCACAGCTCTCCGCTCCTGTCACTTCCTTCCCCACCACCACTTCCTCTTTGTCCGGACACTAGGCACTACCCACCTCTGAGGGCTTCTTTTCGTTCTGCCGGGGCCAGCCCGACTTGGTGCTGCTGGGCAGTTTGGAGCATCGTGATGCAGTTGTAGCGTGACCTGCAGAGAGAGAGCACAGCCCATGAGGGGCCCCTGAAAGGCCAGGGACACCACCCACCCACCCATCCCCATCCAAGGACAGGAAGCGTGTAAGGAAGGCTCTGGCTTGAATGTGCAGGAGGTGGAAACCTCTGTGAGCACCTGTCCCTGCTCTGGACCTCTCCAGGGAGAAGTGGGGACACGAATGCTTCCCCTGCTCACCAAGCACAGGGGTTTCGGAAGTAAAAGGCAGTGACCTGGACTCACGATTGGCTTACTGTGTGACCCATGACAAGTCCCTTCCCCTCTTTGTTCCCCTGCGTCTTCCTCGGAGAAGGAGGCCTTCTGTGGCCACGCTTCATTCCTGCCCCAGGCGGAGACACTCTGGGATGAGGCCCAGTGGGTATGCAGAGGCACAAAAGGGCAGTGGGATGAATGCTGCTCTAAAGTAAACCCATTTACCAGCTTGTCACCCTGGGCAAATGACTTTAGCTCTCTGGGGGCAAAGAGCTGTGAGAATTCAGTGACGCCACGCCTGTTAAGGCTTCGCAGAGTCCCCGGACCAAAGCACGGCCTCCATAAACATGAGCTATCACTGCTAGAGTCTGAGGCCCTGGCTGGACTGCAGGACTGCAGCCTCCACCCCGTGGGTCCAAGCAGTGGCAGCCACGGGTAGGTACAGTGGTGGGGGCTGGTGGGAAGGGAGTATGCCGCAGCCCGGCCCAACTCTGCTGCAGCGGCCCAGACTCCGGCTCTTGCAGGTGCCTGGCCCTCAGGGGTTCCTGTCCTGAGTGAAGTTAGAAGCAGAGGATGCGGTTGTTCTTGGCTCTGCTGAGACAAGCCACAGGCAGTGCGGTTGTGGCCACAGAGGGCCGGACGCTGTGATCTCCTGCCACAGGGAGGAAGGACTGGCCAGGTTAGACACCAGAGCCAAGCTGAGCAAACAGACCCTAAAGGGCAGTGAATGAGACCTGGAGGTAGGAAAGCGGCTGGGACCGACTGGCCGTCTTGGTGCATCGGTCGTCAGGCTCTTGGGGGGCTCTCCGCAGCTGCTCACCACAGACGTGAACAAACTGAGGTGCAGAGCTGCAGGGCTCCAGGCCCAGCCTTCCCGGCAATGAGTTCAGCCTCTTCCTCAGTGCGGGCTCCCCCCAGGGGGCACCGCTAGGCGGAATCCTCCGGGCAGCGCACCTCTCCTATGTAGGGCAGAACGGAACTCCTTACCGGGCCAGCTCACGCAGGCCCAGGTTCCTGCGGCATCTGGGAAGAGCTGCCTTCTGGTACTAGAGAAAAGCTCTCGTCTTCTGCAAACCTCTCTTATCTCCCCCCACATTTGAGAAGAGGCTCCCTAAGCCCCCTTTTCTCCTTGACAATCCCTGTGACCCCCAAGACATCCAGCTGCCACAACCAGCCCATACACAAGTCTACCTCTGGGATTCTCCTGCCAAGATCCCTTGTTAATTCCTTTGACAAACATTTACTGACCATCTATTATGTACCTGATCTAGCTGGGGATACAGCAACCAGCCAGACATGACCCCTCTTCCTCTTATCAAGGAGTTTACCGCTAATTAGGAAATGATATTTATATCAGGTAATTACCATAAAACTTAACAGGTTTTCTGTCTGTTTCTACACAGCCCTGATTTAACATAAGGGCCAGAGAGAGAGGGATGTGTCCCAAGCAGCCAGGAGCAGCAAATGCAAAGATCCAGAGAGGATGTGATCTTTTCTAACCAGAGCAAAACATGTGGGATTGAGACCTAGGGGGGAAAGGGGAGTAGGGTGAAGACACCAAGGCTCAAAAGGCCACAGAGGTGTGGAGACTTTCTCAGGAGTACAAGGAACTGGCCTGATTTATGCTTTCATCAACTTTTGAGACCATGGGGCAGCCTCCCCCCATTTGGGCCTGTGGGCCTGATAATTATTCCAATGCTTTCCTTGCAGGAGCCCCAAATGGAAGGCCTTACTGTCAGTGGTGTCAGAGTTGTCGCTGCTGATGGAGTATTTTCGCCTCTTCTCTTCCATCTGCAACAAAAGGCAGGCCCCATTATACTTACAGGAGGCTTGGGAAATCCTCAGTCTCCTAGAAAACTGCCCGATAACCTACCTCCCCATACTCACCCTGCTGCAGTGGAAGAATAACAAGGCCCTGCCCTAGCCTTCTCCCCAGGCAGCTTCACCCTCTCTCCCCACCCACCCACGGGAGCCCGGGGGGTGGGGCAGGGGGCTGCATCTCCCACCTCCTGACCCCAGAGCCTCAAGATGAACAGGAGTCTGGCCAAAGATGTCAGAGGGAGGGCAAGGGGGTCAGTAGCCCCAGAACAATTAGGGCCTGCTCAGCCCTAGTTTCCACTCAAGGCAACTCAGGTCCTCCAGAGAATCCACTCCCCCCCCGGAGGAGGAGCAGAAAAGTGAAACAAGCCCGACTGTTCCAGAGGGACCATGCCATCTGAGTTTAGAAACAAGCCAGCTCAGACAGCACTAAGGGCACATCCTGAGGGTGGTGGCCAGAGGAGCGTGGAAAAGAACTAGGAGCAGGGAGGCTCTGAGCTGGGTCCCTGAGATGCGCCCAGCCCAGGGTGACTGGTCCTAGGCTGGGCTGCCCTCCCTCCTGCAACGTCCTTCTCCAGATAGGAGCATAAACCAACTTTATCTCAACTACAGTATTTTACTTCAAGGTAAGATGGCCAGCTCCCCACACGGAGCTCCTTCCTCTACCAACACTGGCTCGGCTCACGTTCCTAACACCCCGGGAAGCTCCGAGTTACTGGCTTCCTTACTACAGAGGCACAGGGCCTTGTCCTGCTGTAACTGGCCGAACTGGGATTTGAATCCACGTGGTCTTATCCCTGAGCCCACACTGAGCTGCCTCTGGGCCTGGGTGAGCTCTTGCCTGAGGACAGTGCTTTCCCACCCACTATTTCCTGGGATCTTGCAGACTCCAGGGTGGCAGAGCTTGCTCCAGTCTCCTCTTGGAGGGGAGGACCCCCAGGGGCTCGTTCACCTGCCTTGGGTCTCACAGCTAGTCAGGGGCCGAGTCCTAATGTGAGAACAGATCTGGGATTCGGGACCCAAAGCATTTTCCACCACATCCCTTGTTAGTCTGGAACCTGGGCCGCCTCACTGCCCGAGGCGAAGGGCAAGGAGCCAATGTCAGTCGAGAGAAAGTTCCGCTTCCCAGCCCAGCTGCAGGCCAACCAGGGTCCCCACCTCTGCTTGGGATCCTATGGGCCACCTGCCACTGCCACCCACTCCAAGTCTGTTTACGCCGAGCCCTGGGTTTCCCCTTATCTCACGGTGGCCCTGTAGAGACAAGGGAACATGAGCTCTCTAAGGTGGGGCGTGACCATCCAGACCTCTGAGCCAACCAGGACCTTCTCCTCACTCCAGTGTCTTCTAACAGCAGGAACAGGATGACGGAAAGGTTCACTGGGGCTGCTTGCTGCGAGCTCCAAAGGGACAGGCAAAGTTCTGTCCAGAGGGTGCAGAGGTTCTGGAGGGAGCCTGAGGACACCAGCAGCACAGGTGCCCAGATGTCAATTGCTAAACACTCATTGTGGCAGGAGGAGGATGCCTCGGTACACAGGGACCTCATGAAGCCCTCAGAGCAGCCCTTCTAAGCCAGCGGGCACGATGGCTGCTTCCCTTTTGCAGATGAAGAAAAGGAAGCACAGAGGTTAAGTGACTTGCTCAAGATCGCAGTGCTTGTAAGAAGTTTATCTGGTCCAGGAGCACATGCCCTTGACCTTCAGACTTCTCTGCCTCTGTGCAGCAGAGTACTAGCAGGTCGTGGACTGAATGGGGCAATAATGCTCTGCCACCCACAGCTGCCATCCTTGCTGTCCTCCAGCGTCTGAGTGTGACAGAGAGGACTCCGACAGGGCCCTGACCCTCGCCTGCATCTTACCAGCCCGGTGCTCTAACAGGTGGGGGCGGCAGCAGGAGGAGAAGCGCTGTAAATGCAATCCTGCCCATGATCCCACGTGTCTCCACTTCCAAGCCTGCCTCTCCCAAAGGAGAAAAGCAGGAGCTCTGGATTCGGGGGATGTCGAGTTCAAATCCTAGCTCTACCCCTCTGCAGACCAGGGATCTCGGGAAAGACATACCTTCCCGAGGACAAGGACTCGATCTGGATTTGTACGTAAGTCTCCTCAACTTCCAATGTTGGCAACTGCTTCAGAATTTTAAAAACACTTTGAAAGGGCCAAACCAAACACATCTGTGGGCCAGAATCGGCTGGTGAGAATAAACGAGAGCAGCGTCAAGCCCTAAGCACGGCGGCTGGCTCTCCACATAGGTGCTAGTCACTCTGTGAAAATCTGGGGCCAGGTGAGGAGTCCTCCTCGCTGCGCCCACCCGAGCGGCTCCTGTACAGTAAGTCAGCCTGCCCGGAACAGGACCCCTTGACTGCCAGTGCCCTTCTCATAATGCTGTTTCCTGCTGCCCAGGGACCTGTCACAGGTGACCTGCCCGCATGCAGACCTGCACCCCACCCTCAGCCACCCTCCCCGTCCAACCTGCCCTCCGTGAAAACGCCCCAGAGTTCTCCTGGGTAGGGTGTTATTAAGGGAGCAGATTTTGTGTGGCTTAATTGGAATAATAACTAGGCTTCCGAGGGAAGCTGCTGTTTTGCGAGTGAAGCTTCTTTCCTTTGAACCAAGTCCGTTCCAAAGGCTTCCCCGCCTCAGGTGAGGCTCCACTGTCAGTGGCTAATGAAGCTCCGAAGGAGGCCTGGGCTCTCCTGTGGGACAGCGCTTCGTCCCTGGAACCCCCCTTCCAACTCAACTAGGAGACAGGGAGGACTCCTTCACCAAAGCGGAAATCTAGGTCGTGGTGGTGGGTGCTGACACTTGGGTCTTAGCCTCCGGTTTTCTCTCTCCACTGGCCCCTCCAATCTCTCCCAAAGCAAGGTCTGCTCTGGGAGAACGCCCCAGTGTCCTAAGGCACTTACTTGCGGGGATAAAAGTGTTTCTGAAGCCCTACCTATAAAAGAGAGTCTAGGAAAAGAAAAGGTCCCCTTTTCCTTCCTTGGCACCTCCTACACCACCCCAGCACAGAGACAGAGAGAAGGAGCTCTCCTTCAGGAGTGTGGGTGTCCTACTGTTCCTTCGGTGGAGAGCCCACAGCCTCTGTGCAATCTCTGCCCCACAGCCAACCCCTGGCAAGTCCAGTGGGCTCTCTCTCCAGAACATACGCTGAATGCATCCACTTTCCCTGCCTCTCTCCTGCTACCACCCTGGCCCACCCCGGGCCCAAACCAGTCCCATCTCTTGCCTGGACTTCACACTCATCTCCCAGCTCCCGCTATTGCTCCTCCCCAATCTAGAATCCACAGAGCAGCCAGAGTGACCTTTAAAGAAAACATAAATCAGATCAAGTCATACCCCCTTTTTAAAATCTTTCAAAGGCTTCCTGCTGATCAAAGGACAAAACTCAAGCCCTTGACCACAATATCCTACATGATCCGGTCCCTCCCTACCTCAGCAAGTTCACAGGGACCACGATCCCCTTCCTCAATGCTTTCTGGCTACACTGGTCTCCTTTCATCTCCTGAAATAAGCCAAATATTCGCTTCGGGACCTGTGCACAGGATGTGCTCTCTGCCTGGAAGGTTCTATGTAGTCTATGCATGTCTGACTCTTTATCCTTCACATTTCAGCTTAAATGTCAAGGAGGTCTATGCCAGTTACTTTATCTAAAGAGAGCCCACAACGCCGTCAGTCAACATCTGCAGAGCATCCACCACAGTTACTGTCTGTCGATCTACTTGTTGAATGTCTTCCTCCTTGGAGAGGGGAGTAAAGGGCACGTCTGTCTGATCTCTGTGGGAGCCCCCCGGCCCCTCGAGTTATCCCCAGCACACAATAGGATAGGGGCTTGGTACCCAGGGAGTGCTGAGTAAGTTCTTGTCCCCTCCCTGTACAAGTGTGGGGAGCACACGGCCCAGCTGGCCGGCCTGCAGCTTGCAGGAACAAACACCCCAGGCCAAGATTTCACCCTGTTTTCACAGCCTGCCTTCCTCATCTTAACCTCACACATTTTCCAGGAGGCTTTACTTGGTTGGGCTCCTGGCTAATGATCAATGTCAACTCAGTAATAGGGCAGCAATTTGGTGGCAGATGTTTTCTTGGCAGCACTAGCCATTGGTCTTAGTGGGGGCCTTGGGTCTGGACTTGAAACACCAATGCCCAATGCCAGCCCCCTTTAAAGACCTCTCCGCAAATAAACTCAAATAAACACCCTGGGCCTCCATTAACGCTCTTCCAGCTGACCCTGGGAACAGTGGGCCTTTCAGCTCTGCTAGTGCAGCCGCTCCCCGGGCAGTTAAAACACCCCAACCTGGCCTCCGGCCTCTCCTCTCTGGGGGCCACCAGACCTGCCCTGCCCGCCACCACACACAGCAGGACTTCGTCTTCCTCCTTAAAAAAAGGGGGGGGGGTTGGCTTTCAAGCAGGCAATTTACCATTCCAGACACAATCTTTCAAAGAGAAACAAAAACTTTCCCTGTCTGAGGCAGGCCGCTTAGGCGTGTGTGTAATAAGATGCTAATACAATTTAATGATATTTCGGCTGGAAAACCTGTCCTCAGAGCCTCCTTGTGTCGGGAAGGCCAGACGTTCAGAAAACAAGAACTGCATGCTCTTAAACCGCTGTAAGTGGGGGTCAGAGCCCCGCTCTTTCCTATCTCTCATTAACTTTAATGCCTTCTTGGGGACAGTAATCACCATTACAGAAATGACTTTGTACACACGGACCCTCAAACGTGCTTCTCTGAGCATGGGGGCTCCTGAGCCCTCCTCCGACACTTATCATGGCCCACCTGCAATTCCAAGTGTCCCAGAGGGTACCCAGCTCCCTTGGAACACGCTGCCCACACCCGCCCCCCAAACCCAGTTCTGGGGACATACCTAGGGGGTCCTGGAAGAATGAAAGGGGTTTTGTCTACTTTGTCCTTCGGCACCTTCTCACCCTACCCTCCACCTCAGAGAGGGCAAAGCTCAGTCCGCTCGCTCCCACAGATGGCTGCCCATTGGCAACTGCAGGGTTCTTCCGATCCCTTCTTCAGAGAAGGGAGCTGGCTCTCTGGCCTAGCCTAAAGGGGAGAGATCAAAGGTCAAAGCTGCATTTGGGCCCTCTGTAGATCATCAGTAATAGTAAAAATGGCCAATACTAATCAAGTGCTTACCACATGCCTGGCTTTGGGTTTAATCTTCTTTATGCAATATACTGCTCAATCCATACACCAATCATGGGGTAGGGACTGTTATTAACCCCACTTGCAGATGAAGAAAAGTGAGGCACAAAGCAACTGTCACAGCTGGTAACTGCATATAGCTATAGCACTCAAACCCAGGCTATGTGACTCCAGGTGGTGCACCCCACCCCGCACGCTGGCTACCACGCACAGGCCTACAACCCCAGAGTGTGGCTAGGGTACTCCAGATTCCTATGGGTTATCTGAGAACCTCCCTGGGTTCCTAAACCTCGAGCCACACAGTCAGGGTCCTATGTGGATGGAGGACAAAGCAGGCCAATCCTGGCCTTCCCCTAAAGCACCTAAAGGCAGAACTAACTGTGAGGTCTGTGAAGAGCCTGCTGGATGGGTTGTGAAGAATGTGGACTGGAAGTCACTGAACCCAGTCTTGGGTATAAGAAAAACTACCTCCCCGTTACTCGGAAGTCCAGTTAACCAGAACAGCCCGCACCCCCCCCGCCAAGGGGCTCAAGGATGTGATAGTAGTCAGTGTCAAAGGCCTACCCTCAAGACTCTGGGTTGCACCTTGGGGACTGAGACCAGCAGTCCCACCTCACCCGCCAATGAAAGCCAAGTGGAAGCTCTCTTGGATTAGTGTTACTGGCCATTGAGCCGTGCAATTTAGGCAAAGGAAAAGCATGCTGGATGGGAAATGTTCTGGAAACATTTGCTGCATCCCAAGTCCAAACAACTTTGTCCTTAAACACTTCATCTCCAAAAGTGCTGGGGAGACCTTTGGCCAAACAATTTCAAAACCAACACTCACTACAAGTCCTGCTGCCTGGGGCGAGGACTTCCCTCTGCGAGGGATTTGCTGTAGAACCAAATGCTTTTCCACTCCAAACAACAACCAACAGCACTTGGGACAACGGAGAGGACTCCAGATCAAACAAACATCCCTTTTTTCCCCCCTACCATGCAAACTTTCTCAATAAATTATTCGCCCACTTCGGATCAAAGCCTGTTTTGCAGCCTGTGACCTAAAAAGCAAATAGCGTCTCTTAAACATGAAAGCCCTCCTCCCTGCCTGGGTCGGCTTTATTACTCATTCCTTCCCCTTACAGTTATTCTGTTGTTATTTTCCTCCTCTGCTTGTTAGATCGCTCTGCAAGTCCCAACCCGCCTGAGGAAGAAGAGACGGGAGGAATGGTGCGTTCACTTGGGGCCCTAAGGTGAGAGAGGAAGTCAGGGTAGGGGAGAAGCCAGCACCCTGGGAACCCAGGAAACAGGGCCAGGCCCGGTTGGCAGCTCCTTGCACGGCCCTTTTGCCAAATGTCCTACTGGGAATTTTACCAGTGAAGGGAGGGAATTAATGCCACGGTGGGAGGAGGGGCCAGGCGGCCGTACCACCACCTAGGCCCCTGATTCGGTCTGCAAACAGAAATGTTAAGGGGACGTCCTGATAGCCAGTCTAGGCTGAAAGCTTGGGGCTCCTCCCCTTTCCAACAAAGGCAAGGCGGCAGGCCAGTCCTGCCCTCTCAGACCCTCCCCAATCCTCTTTAGAGCCGCTCTGAGTGCAGACACGAAGACTCCCGATGACCCCCTACAAACTCAGCCTCTGGGTAAAACTTTGTGTCCCGCAGTGGATGAGCAAGGGGTGCTGAGCGCGGGAGCACGGTCTGGAAATCTGCAGAGAGCAGAGTCGCCCGGTGCAGCGGCGCCCTTGGCTCGGGGCAAAGGGAAACACGGCCCCTCCCGCCCCCACCAGCCCCGGGCACTAGACCTGCAGCCAAGGTGGTTTAAAAAAAAAAAAAAAAAAAAAGCGTCCCGGCCCGCGGCGGAGGCTAAGGGGATTGGGAGGGGGTGGCGCGCGCCTCCAGCCCGCCCCTGGAGGCAGTTCGCGGGACCGCAGGCTGGAGGCGCGCCGGCGTGATTCCGACCGCGGGAGCCGGGAGGAGGAGCCGGAGGTGGCTGCGGGGGGCTCCGGCCCAGGCGAAGGAAGGGCAAGAGGCGGTTCGGGCCGGGGGTGGCGGACTTAACGCTAGGGGCGGGGGGAGGGCTTTAGGTGAAGCGGGTAAGAGGAGCCGAGCCTCTTGGGAAGTGGGTAGCTACGTGTGGCGGGGGACTGGGTGTGTGGGGGATGTCCTGGGCCTCTGGAAGCCACAGCGAAGCCTTCCTGCCTGTCTCGCAGACATCCTCGTCTTCTGATGTAACAGCTACGAATCGCCAAGCTGACCCCTTCTCATCCCTTGGCCTGGAGAATAGAGTGGCTCAGGGATAGGCGGGAAGGGACCGGAGGGAGCCACAAGTCTGCACCCAGGCGGGGAGGAAGCGGGCGGGTGCCGCTCCGCAGGCGCAGGCGAGTGGGTGGGAAGGAAGGAGGGAGAGAGGGAGGAAGGAGGTGAGGCCGGGAAGATGCCACTGCCGGGGGCGGGGCGCGGCCGGGGATCCGGGAGAGGGACTGCAGCGGTGCTTGGTGGGGGCTGGGGCTGCAATGTCACTTATTTGAGGGTCAGGTGAGCATGTCCCAGGCTCAGACTGCCACTTGCCTACATCTTCCCGCTACCACCCAGGCCGCAGGGGCGGAAGCGGAGGGCAGGGGACTGCATTACCGTCCCCGAAGCGGGACGCGAACCAGGAGAGTTGGGAGAAGGTAAACAAGGGCCACGCCCCCTGCCGTCGCCCCGCGGGCGCGCACCCGCCACTCCGGCCGCAGCCGGTACATTTCCACTCTCCCAGCGCTTCTCCCCCGCCGGACTCCCGCGCAGCCCCGGAGGGGGGCTATCCCCAACCCCAGCCCCCGCCCCGTACGCCGGGGCTGCACACCCGGCATACTCACCTGGAAAGGGTGTCCCCCGCCCCTCCAAAACACTGTGTTTAATTTGTGCAGAGCCTCCGAGCCGGGGAGCTGAGCATGCTGCCCCCGCGTGCAGCGCCCGCGTGCACCCAGCCCAGAGAGGGGGCGACAGGGCGGAGGCGGTGGCCCCCGGAAGGTGTCTGGGACCGGACCGGCTGCACGTGAGCCCAGCGCGGAGTCATGTGCACCGGCTCAGCCCGGTTCGGCGGCCGGACGTGCTGCGTATCAACAAAATGAAACTCAGGGCGACAGGAGGGCAGATAGGTCCAGGTCCTCTGAACCCCCATCCCCGGCAGAACGACCTCCCCACCACTGCTGTCTCCCGCCGCAGCCCCTCCGCGCGGCCGGAGCCCGCGGGGCAAGTTGCAGCCCTAGCGCGCCCCCGCCCGCCCGCGCCCCCTCACCGGCCCGGGGGCGCTTTGCCGCAGTCATTAATAAAGAAGGTCGCCAAGCTCACCCTTCCAAAAGTTGTTGTTGCATGCGCCCCTCTCAGCCTCCCCGCAATGTACTCTTTAAAAACACGACTGACCAACATGCGCAATCTCTCTCCCCTGTGCTGTGCATCCCCCCCCCCCCCCCGCGCCCTGGCTTCCTAGAACAGGCAGCCAGCAGGAGAGAGAGGGAGCGAGCGAGCAAGAGAGAGAGCGAGAGAGCGAGGAGCGCTGGCAGATCTGTTGCAAAAACACAAAATAACGCCGCGGAGATGCGCAGGGCCCATCGCTGGGGGCTGGATCTTACCTTCCTCCGCGGTGCCCTTCCGAGGGGCGCTGCCCTGGACTACGCGCCGCGGCGGGGGCCGGCGCGGGAAGGATGCTCCCGAAACCCGGAGCTCCTGGGGCCGGCGCGGGCGGGCGGGGGGCGCGCATCCATCCGGGGTCGCAGCGAGGGAGGCGGCCGGGCCTGCGGCGTCCCCGGCCCCGCACCCCTGCTGGGGACGGTCAGCCCGCTGGACCTAAGCCCTTGCCGCTAGGAATGGGCGCAAAGTAACTCCATGGACGCTACTCACCCCCCCCCAAAATAGCCTCCAACTGCGATGGCCGCGGTCGGCACCATTCACCAATCCCCCTGTGTATGTTTCTGTTTCTTTTTAAACCAAGACTTCCTTGTGATCTCTTTAGAAAAAAAAAAATGTGTTGGGGTGGGGGTGGGGTGGGGGCGGGCGGGAGGAGCGAGGGAGGGGGAGTAGCCACTTTTTTCTTATTCACTCGGATCTCCACTCCTGACACCCCCCGCCGCCCGCCCCCCCCCCCCCCCCCCCCGCCCAGTTGTTTGGCTTCGGCAGCGGGTCCAGGTAGCGTTGCAGGCCTCGGGGGGAGGGTGCTCTGCCGGGCCGTCCGTGTGCCTGCACCTCGGGCCCAGACTCCCCATGGGCTCTGGGGCGCCCCCAGCCCGCCCTGTCCCCAGGGCCGGGCCGAGCGGCGGCTGCGCCCGTGCAAGTCCCATCAGGTCTGCTCACACTTCACACACTCACACACACACCCCGCCCCTCCACTCTCTCACTCACACTTTCTGCTCACACTCCGCCCCCTTCGCGCCCCAGACCCGGGCGGCGCCCCCCGCAACCTTAAAAAAAAAAAAAAAAAAGCAAGCTTATACTTAAAAAAATCTTTTGGCGCCATATTAATGACGTACTTAAAATTTGCCATTTCTCCCTGCGTCAAAAAGACGTTTCTTTGCAAATAACAGCCTGAAGGCGACACTCGCGGAGGGAACGAGGTTTGCACTGAGCACCCCGCCTCCCGGGGCTCCAGCGCTGGAAGACCCTCGCCCTAGGCCCTGCTCCCGAATCGCTGGTTTAAAAATGCGAATCGAATAAATCGCGTGGCGCTTTGCAGCGCCAGAAGTGAGCAGAAAGTGCTGGCCGGAGCGGAGGGGAGGGGCGCGCGCGCGAGTCTGGGGGAGGGGGCGCGGCCCTCCTCCCCCACCCACAGCAGATGGAAACTAACATCCCGGGCGGGGGAAACTTGAAATTGTGGACGACCTCAAGAAAGGAGGGGCGGTCCGTAGAAAGGGTCCCTCTCGGGTTCGTCGCCCCCTCCCCCGCCCGGGTGCCTCCGGGTTCCCAGCTCTGCCCCGCATTTCCGGGGGGTGGGGAACGCAGTGATGGGTGGGTGGGTAGCTGCTCGTCCCGGTCCCAGTTGGAGTTTGCCCCGCGGTGTCCCCTTCCCCCCCCAGCTCGTCCTTCCCATTACCCCTAAAGGGTTAAAAACCGAGGGGGCAACTTCCAAAGGTTGGCACTTGGCGAGGAAGCGGGGCGCCCCTCTCCCCACCCTTCGCCTCCTCGCCCCTCCTCCTCCGGCTCCACTTCCCGACTTGACCTTGTGGTGCACAAACAGTGCGCTCGGATCCTCGCAGTTTCTGGAAGAAGCGCTTGCGCTCGCCAGGCAGGCGGGCTGTCGGGCGGCTAGCAGGCGGTGGCGGGGCCTTGGGTCCGTTCCCGGAGCCGCGGGCCACACCCACCCAACCCGCTGCGCCCGCCACGCTCACCTTCTCTCGAGGAAGGAGCTGGGCTGGCCTCCTGGGTGGGGAGGTGTGGGGGGCAAGCTGCAGCCTTTCCGGATGCTCCCAGCTGGGGAGGGGCTGGTCTCAGGCTGGGGAGACCTGGGAGCCTGGGTCAACATCCCCAAAGCATCGCTGCCAACTTTTCCTATCCTCTCCCTTTGGCTGCCCCTCAGAGATAATCCAAATAATTTTTTTGAACTCACCTTTGGCTTTGAAGGCATGTGGGTGAGTTGTGAACGGGGACAGCAACCGCCTTCCCTCTCCAAGACTGAAGGTTGTTTATTCTTTCTTTCTTTCCCTTCCAGCCCCCTTCTATGGAAAGATAAATATACAATTTACATAAGATGACATTTATGTGACAATTAAAAAGATCCCCCGATGGAATGTTGTGAACACATTTGCTTATAGGAGAAATAAATCTAATAATAAACAAACTCATAATAAAAGCACAAATCCTCTGACAGGGTAGATTGTCTACACAACAAAGAGGGAGATGATGAATGCAGAAATAAGCACTTTTTGCAACAAGAAAGAAATATGAGCTCAAAGGGAGTCACTGCAACATTTTCTTCCTTGGCCTTCATTCACAAAGTCTGGGGAGGCTTGTCTGGCAAGATTGAGGCACTGGGGTACCACCTCCTGGTTAGACCTGACTCCAGCTCTGAGTGGTCATTTGTTAGGATTTTCTCAAACCCAAGCTCAATGCCAGAAAACAGATGACACAGGCTGTTCGCATGAAACAACATGGTTAAATACCTGGATTCTAATCCTGGCTTTGCAATTGAGAAGCTACTTGATGTGGACAAGTGCATTCATCTCTCTGGGTCTCTTTCTTCTTCTGTAGAACAGGATGGCTGGAGGGGTCCTGAAGCGGTGTGTGTGTGTACATGCTGTTTGTGTAAACACAAACACTCCTGGCTCAGAGTGCACAGTGCACATTAGCACTTTCCCTGGTGCTTAAGTTTTGGAAGGGGGACCGTGCTCCCTGAAAGTTCTTAACACTGAAAAACTGGAGAACAATGATTTTTGTCTTGCTCTCCATGAGGACCTAGACAAGATCTCCCAGTTGGGGCAAAAAGGAAGGCGAGGAGGAAAAACTGATACGTGGTGGGCTTCATGGTCAAGGTCCAGATGGCAGTCTCAACCACACATCTGAAGTGGGAATGGGGGTACCAATTGACAGTGGCACAGTCTAAAGAAACCACTCTGATTGGGTCTGGTTGCAGAGGACTTACATGCACCAAAGGACGGGACAGTCTCCTCCTCTTAAGCCATCAGGATCCTGTGAACCTTGGCAAGCAGTTATAAAATGACCTAGAGAGAAGGAAGAGGGAGAAGATGACCATTTATAGAGCACCTGCTCTGTGCTGTGCACTATGCAAGTCGTTCCATTTCATCCTCACAAAAATCCCATTTTACCTATTGAGAAAGATTTAGTGACTTACGAACAGTCACACAAGCTGGCAAGTGGTGGTAGAATTGGCACCTAGTCCACACGACCCCAAAGACTACATTTTTTCCATTTTACCCCACTGCCAGAAATAAAAAGTAATAGCATTATTGGTTTGATTGAGGATGGGGGCCTGATTGATATAATAGCAAGAAAGAATTTTGTGGGTAGTACTTTGCCTCTAAGGTGGTTCACTGAATTTGGGTGAGACCCAGGTCATCTAAGGAGTCCTTGGAAGGCACTTCTTGTTTAGGACAGGAAGCTCCATCAGAATTCTTGGATTCCCACTGTTCTCTGCTACTGTTTAAGGTTACCCTTGAAAATGTTAACAGAATAATAGCAATGGAGCTAATTATAACTCCTTAGTCTTTAGTAAAAACCTCACAAATCATTAACTTATTACAGAAAAAAATGAGAAGAAACATAAAGTTCTTGGAGACGTAATTATTCACTTTTTTCAACAAATATTTATTGAGTGTGGGGCGCCTGGGTGGCTCGGTTGTTAGGCTTTTGCCTTTGGCTCGAGTCATGATCCAGGGATCCTGGGATCGAGCCCCACGTCGGGCTCCCTGCTCAGCGGGAAGCCTGCTTCTCCCTCTCCCACTCCCCCTGCTTGTGTTCCCTCTCTCGCTGTGTCTCTCTCTGTCAAATAAATAAATCTTTTAAAAAAATATTTACTGAGTGCCTCTGGTATACCACGCACCATTCTAGGGGCTGAGGACACAGCACAAAAATGACAGACAAAAATGCCTACTCTCATGGAACTCACTTACTAGTGGAAGGAGATACACAAAATTTTTAAAAGTAAAATATATTTGAAGGTTAGTAAATGCTATTCCGAAAAAATTAAGTAGGAAAGGGGGATAGGGAATGTGGTCATGCAATTTAAATAGAGTCCTCAGGGAAGAGCTGCCTGAGAAGGTGGCTTCTGCATAAAAGGAGGTGAAGGAATGAGCTGTGAGGGCTTATGGGAGAAGAACGAGCATTCTAATTCTAAGTCAGGGGTTCTTGACATGGAGTCCATGGACACCCCCCCCCCTACAGATATCTGTGGATAGAAATTCAGGGGGTCTTGGCTTTAGATGGGGAAAAAATATATCTTTATTTTCACTAATTAACATTTAGCATGTTCTTCAATTATGAATGCAGACAGCAAATCACAGTGATATCAGCACCACCTGTGAAGCCATTGCTAGTAGAAATCACAGATATTTTCATATCACATTATCGTTGTTACAACTACCTTAAAATATCATTACAGTTATCACTACTTCATAATTATGCTGCTAGCTCTTATAATTTAATGAATTAATAAGAAACACATATATTACTGTGTATTACACATTTTAAAAATGCTTTGAGAGTTGTATTTCAACATACTTGGTTTTCTTTATAATTTATGAAGCTTATTTTATGGACTTAAAGATATTATTCTCAGAAGGAATCCACAGGCATCACAGACTGCCAAAAGGGTCCATGGTACGAAATAAAAGAAACAACTGTCTCCACGGAGAGACCAGCAAATGCAAAGGTCCTGAGGCAGGAATGTGCTTATTATGTAAATGTATAAGAAAGAGATTATATAGGGTGTTGTTAGGAACTTGGCTTGTGCTAGGTGTAATAAAGATGCTTTTGAGCAGAGGAGTGACATGGTCTGACACTGGATTTTACAGGTTAGTTTGCTGGAGGACAGCCTGAAAGCAGAAAGGTTGAAGCTGGAAGACAGGTTAGAAGGTTACTGTAATAGACCAGGTGAGAGATGATGTTAACATGCACTAGAGGGGCGCCTGGATGGCTCAGTCATTAAGCGTCTGCCTTCGGCTCAGGTCAGGATCCCAGGGTCCTGGGATCGAGCCCCGCATCGGGCTCCCTGCTCAGCAGGAAGCCTGCTTCTCCCTCTCCCACTCCCACTGCTTGTGTTCCCTCTCTCGCTGTGTCTCCCTCTGTCAAATAAATAAATAAAATCTTAAAAAAAAAACATACACTAGAATGGTAGCAGTGGAAATGGTCAAATTCCA